GTTTCGTTCGAAACGGTGCACGGTACAACCTTTTGAACTCGGCAATGCTAGAACTCTTCGACTATATCCGATCGGTGAGTTGTGCATACTTATTTTCGTTCCATAAACTTATTTGAACTATGGTTGCCAAATTTAGGAGGACATTAAACCGCTGGTCAAATACACAGTAGAGAACCACATGTCCTCATTTGAAGACGTGACCTACGTGAAGTTATTCTCCGAGCTGAAGATACGCTATGAACAACAGCGCGATCGTGAGAATTCGGCGAAGATAACCGCTGACGAGAGAGTGCCAAGTCCGGCAGCGTTCGCTAAAGAGCGGCAGGTATGTGAAAATTTCTCGTGATTCGCCAAGAAGTTGGGCACCTTTGAGCTAGGGGACGCGAGATGGAGTTGCTGCTTTGCTATATTCGTTAAACTTCAATCCGGGAAATCTTTCAGCTCTTGCCCTCTTTTTCAAAACGATTGTCATTTTGTAGATATATGTGCTTGGAGCATCTAGTTATGCTTCATTTTTTTTCTGAACGGCCCTCAGAACGTCAGGAAAAGGGGCTCTTTGTTTTGTACTTCCGTGGTGACAGTTTCGCATTTTCGGTTGGCTCTTGCGTTGTATTGCAAAATGATACCCGCGGACCAGTAATGGATGCATTATTACCATATGAGTAGCTTTTTACTAAAAATTGGTGTCAAAAATTTGTAGCGCTTGAGCCTTTTTGACATTCAGAAACTGCTTGAAATCGTTTTTGAAAGGCAAGGCACGATCGTGAAGACCTTCTTGATAGGGAATGTTTACTCACGGGCCCTAGTTCTTTTTTGTGATTACACTATTTATTACACACTCGCACACTCGAAAGAATTCAGCATTATTCATAGAGCCAAGTGTTCACTTTTTTCGGCAGAGCTTATGGCAGTATTTTTATGGGATCCTGCCAGGTTCGATGTAGGATGGGATCAGGGTCGTCCTTCGCGCTCGGCCGATTTCTGTAATTTTGCAACTTCACACGAATGCAACTCCCGCGGGCATGTTTGATCAGCCAAAGATACGACCCCAGAAAAATTACGTTTATCCTCCCCTCCACTCGTCCGAATTGTCCAGAAGAACGGTTGACCTCGGATGAGATGCTCTCTGGGTGTATTACTCTCTGGTGTAGAAGTTGGTATTGTGCAGTTGTTTGCTCAATTTTGGTTCACATTATTTGTTGTTCAAGGAAGAGCAGTGGTTCGATGGCGAGGATGATGACGCAACCGAATGCAAGAAAGAGCCGATTGAAGTGAAGAAAGAAATCAAGAAGGAAATCGATTCACCTAGGAAGACTGGCATAGAACCAATGTTCCCTTCGGTACTGAAACGGAAGAATGCGTTCGATGAGGACGATGGAGCCGTGTTCAGCGGTCAAGTTGCACTACTGACACCAGTGAACATTGTGACTGAGAAGAAAATCGTTATAAAGGTACGTCAAAAACGTTGGCTACAAAGTTACCATTTTTTGTCCTATGTTCTCTTATTTTTGAGGCCTACTTTATTCAGGTGGGCGATCGATCTCGAACTCCATCGCCGTTAGGTTCACCTTTATCATCAACCCCGCCTCCACCGCAAGCTCGTGAAGATGAAGTCTCTTCTTCGCAAAACAACAGCAAGGAGAATAGTCCAATGAGCATAAAGGTATGAAATAGCTGTAAATGCTTTTCTTTTTTTTTATTGTTT